ACCAATTCACTCTGTATGTAAATCATAATTACGAAGCAAGTAAAATTATCAAAGTATTTTTTTTATTCCGCAATCCATGTCCATAACAGTGCTGTGTCATTGGCAGTGTCAGCAAGTTTAGACAAAAGGGGAAATACACATTCCCATTACAATGAAATAGATGCTGGGTTCTTAGTCAGGCTAAGCCGCTCAAACCCCGCCACCACGTTAAGGTGACCCAGCGTCGGGGGGAGGCACAGGTATGGCAAAAATTATAAATGAAATTGGGTCCACCCTCCGTGGATTTTTTCAGACATTTGCTTTTAACCCTTTCACTGTCGAGACCCCCGAAATTAAAGTGCTGACTATGTCGGGATTTAAAAAAACAAATCTTCAGAAATGGTAGAGAATCTTTTTCTAATGGTAAATGACACCAAAGATTTGATGGAAAACTTACAGAATTACACAGGAGCAAAGTTGGCAATTTGCATACTGGCAATTTTACCCACCGAGTCCAATTTTAAGCCAAATTAACCTAATTTTTAGCTATCTCATTAGTATGCCTTTCATTCTATCAAGTGAGCATGAGAAACAGCCCATTTAACTATTGTAACTAACTTATAAAAGGAATAGAAGCTGGTAATTCGGCCTATTTTACACAAAGCATCAGCAAATTCCAATTTAAAAACAATCCTAAATACCTATTGTATGCATTCAAGCAACTAAAGAAACCTTTCCTTTTTTCATTATGTCTCCAGGCCTCTCCTATATTACACTTGCCATCTATTTTGAATGAATCACAAAAAAAAAAAATAAAATAAAATAAAATAAAATAAAAAATTTAAGTTTTACCTTATTCCTTGGATAATAAAATATAACGAGGAATGACTGGTCATGGCTTAGGGGCATTCTAATAATTAAAGAATACAATAAAAGCCCATAAAACAGACCATGCAGAGATGGCTTACCCTTCCTCAGGAAAATCATCAAAAATAAAATATTTTTGCCAATTTAAGCACTATTTCAATCTACTTTCGGTCTTGAAACACACCAAAATCATCTCTGTTTCAGCAATATGTTTTCCATTCTACCAACTGATACCAAGAAACAGCCAATAAAATTATAAAAACACCTCAAATTTTCTATTTTAAACCAGAGACAAGGTCAGAGGTTAATCACATCCCCAGACCTCTCCTATAGTACACTTGCCTTCCACTTTGAATATGTCATCACAATGTGCGGGTTGTTTGTGTATTGACCCAGGAATGATTGGTCATGATTTACAGCATCCCAATAATTGAATCAGACCTATTAAAAACTCATAAAACAGCCTTCGAGGTGTAGGGTGCCTTACCCATCCTCAGGAAAAATAGTAAAATCTAATATTTCTGCTACTTCTGGTTCTGAAACCAACCAAAATCATTTCTTATTTCTGTAGTACGTATATCTATTCTATTGTATGGGTGATGAATGTTGCAACAAGGAGAAGGCTGGAGGCAGTGGAGATGTCATGTCTGAGGGCAATGCGTGGTGCGAATATAATGCAGAAATTTCGTAGTTTGGAAATTAGGAGATGTGGGATTACTAAAATTATTATCCAGAGGGCTGAGGAGGAGTTGTTGAGGTGGTTCAGACATGTAGAGAGGGTGGAACAAAATAGAATGACATCAAGAGTGTATAAATCTGTAGTGGAGGGAAAGTGGGGAAGGGGTCAGCCTAGGAAAGGTTAAAGGGAGGGGGGTTAGACTTCCAGCAAACATGCATAAGCATGTTCAATAGGAGCGAATGGAGGCAAATGGTTATTAGGACTTGACGTGTTGTTGGGGTGTGAGCAGGGTAACATTTATTAAGGGATTCAGGGAAACTGGCAAGCCAGACTGGAGTCCTGGAGATGGGAAGTACAGTGCCTGCACTCTGAAGGGGTGTTAATGTTGCAGTTTTATAACTGTAGTGTAAGTGCGCCTCTGGCAAGACAGTGATGGAGTAAATAATGGTGAAAGTTTTTCTTTTTTGGGCCACCCTGCCTTGGTGGGAGATGGCCGATGTGTTAGTAAAAAAATAACCTATTCTATCAAATGATATCAAGAAACAGCCAATAAAACCATAAAAACTATCTTAGAGAACACCTTAAAGTAGCAGTTTTAAGCTAAACACAAGGTCAGAAATTTGCTTTTCCAATCATGAACTGCATGGGGCAGGAATTTTTTTTGATACTGTGCACACTCACCACACAGACCCATTCTCTCATCCCTAGCCAAAATTTACTATATACATCTACATGAGGGACCCTGGCATCAATAGTGTAGATCTACAGGATAGCCACTGAAAGTGTTAACAGTGCTGACAGTGTAGATATTTAAAAAATAATTCTTCTGTAATGGTAGCAAATCTTTTTCTGAAGGTAATGGCAACAAAAATATGAAGTTTGATGGAAAACTCATAGAATTACACAAAAGCAAAGTTGGCGTTTGGGCAAAATTTATGCATTAGTGATTTCACCCAGTTTGCATCCTGTTTTAAGCCAATTCCACTTCTCGTTTAGACAAAACTTTTAGCTACTTTGCTAGTAGGCCTTCCATTTGATTGACTAAGCATGAGAAACCACCCATTCAACTATCAGAACTACACTATACAGTGCAGAGAATTTAGTAATTTGGCCAATTTTATACAGAATTCAACAAAATCTATTTTAAAAGCAGTCCAATATAAACATTCTATACATTTCAGCCAATAAAGCAACCTACTGTTCAGTAACTATATCCCGAGGCCTCTCCTATATTACACTTGCCTTCCATATTGAATTCATCATTATAAGAAAAAAAATTGAAGTTTCATTTTATTTCTTGGACAATAAAATATAATTCAGAATGGTCATGGTTTAGGGCATCCTAATAATCGAAGCACACTAATAAAAACCCATGAAACAGACCGGGGGGATGTGAGGGACCTTACCTTTCCTCAGGAAAATTGTCAAAAATCAAATAGTTGCATTACTTTGACCCCTATTTCAAGCTGCTTTCAATCCTGAAACTGGCCAACATCATCTCTGGTTCAGTTGTATGTCTGCCATTCTATCAGGTGATACCAAAAAAATCAGCCAATACAACCACAAAAAAAATTCTTGAAAACACCTCACAGTCAATATTCTGAACCAAACTCGGAGTAGGAGGTTTGCTTTTCCCATCAAACACCATGTGAGGCAGGAAGTTTTTTTTTTTTTACATGTGCACACCAACCATCCAGACCATTTCTCTCATGTCTAGGCCAAAATTTATCACTCGCAACATTTATGAGGGCACTATGTTCAAAATGTAGATCTAAGTAAGCAACACTGGTGCCAATAACACAGATCTACATACAAGACAGTGAAAGGGTTAATTCTGTAATAAAATTTTTGTTTTGATAGTCTGCCCTCAATCTTGATAAATTTATAAGACTAGACTAACATAAAAAGAAGAAAGACAGGACTCTAAAACTGTTTGTACAGTCATCCCTCACTTTAATTAAAGTTCAGTTAGTGGAATTTCAGTGTGCAACCAAAAAAAATACTTACGACCCTTCCTCCATTTAACAACCAGCTCCATTTGTTTAACAACTAAATTTGCTGGATCCAAATATGCAGCACTAAAGAAGGGAAGGGGGGCTGTTACAACAACAACAAAAAATTCCATCAGCCCTCACTTTTTCCCAAATCAGCACCCATAACCCCCCACCCAGTATAAAAATTCTGGCAGTGCATCTAGATTCAAATTTTCATTATCAAATAGCAACCACTTCCTCGAACAAAATGGAAATATTATCCTAGGCATGCCTGATTTTTTCACAAAATCTCATTAAAGATTACTCTAAACTGGTTTCTGCTGATGTTCTGAGGAAAATTTAAACTACGGTACAATAAGAGAATTGGGCGTGGGAAATCAAATGAGCCTATTTTGAATGTACTCCTATGATTCATTTCAGGTTGAGTGTCATGCCAGTTAGATAATAATCCACTATTTATTTTTTCTCATAATTTTTTTATTAAATTCCTTCACTTTTGGTATATGATTATATGGCATATGTGAAATAAGCTGGTATTTTTTTCCAAAAATATTTGTCAAGAAATGTGGAATCTGTGAAGTGATAATGAGATATTACTGCAGGTTTATATGATTTTTTTTACAATATCTCTTTAAATATCACTACTGTTCTTCTTGCCTTCTACTGACATTCTATGGAAAATTTTAAGTAGAAGATAGATTTTGGTGTGAGAAATCGAATAAACCTATTATGAACAAAATCCTATACATATGTAGTTTGTTTTCATCTCGAGTGTCATGCACCAAGTGAAAAAAATTTCAATGTTAATTTGTGTTGTGTTATGTTATTCCGATTTGCATGAGATCTTATTGGAAAATTTGATTCACTTTTTGTAATTTTTGGCATAATGAACCATTCTTATGGTTCCTATCTGGGTCATTAAGTAAGGGATGACTGTATGTAGTACCTTTCATTTTTTAAATTTTTATTGTTCATAAATATATTTATTAAAATGAAAAAAAAAAAAAAGACTAACACATTTTAATTAAATAGAATATCAAAAAACAAGAAAATAAAATATGATCACTCATTCTTTTGCCTACCCAAACACATTTGCAAACATGTTACCCACTCATTCATTCTCACATTAATTAAATTTTCAACAAGTTAAACCATCAAACCATCAAAACTTAAAAAGAATATTATGTTAACAAATCATAGTGAAATATCTTTGAATATGAATATGGTCCCTGCCTTCTTAACTCTGGTAATAATTGGTGTTGATACAAATTATTGAAAAAAGAACCCCTTACATGCAATACAGCATTCTGAATGGGAGAAATTACTGCATGTGTATCTACAAAAAATAGCATGCATGACTGACTAGTAACTGTGCACCACATTCATTACAGAGATATACACTAATTACATACATAAGTTCATAAGGAAAACTGGAACAGAGTTGAAAAATTATCCTAAATCAAAACATGATATCAACTTACCTAATAACAGCTAATTTTGTGTTTATGGAGCCCTCTTGGTTTTCTCTTCTAAATACAGATGATACCCATCTGAGAAAAAATGTAAAGCATGGATGCAATGACAAGAAAAAAATATGATACTAAATGACATACTTAAACTTAAGATTCCTTGTGTTATAACCCTCAATTAGTCATAGTAGACTTGTTTTTCAAAATTCTCTTGGGTCCCCTATTTGTAAGCAAATAAATATTATGAAAATCTATGCATGAACTGTTATTACTGTATAGCTAGGAATTACACACTTACTTAATAAAATTAAGAGTGTCCTTGTACATTGTGAGAGATGCTGAAGTATCATGGTCAGTCTCCATGGCCTGCCCACTTAGTATAAAGTATAATGCTGCTTCCAAGTACTTCATAGCTTGCATGGATCGATCAGTCTCCCCATCAGCTATGTGTTTCAACTGCTTGGCCATATTCAAATAGCCCATATAATCCCTACAAAAATATCAAAATAATTAGAATGATCATGCAATTTATGTCATCCTGTATAACTCAATAATCGCATTACTACATAGTAAAGAAAAAAGTAGTATAATTTAAAAAGTGCAAATTCAACTGAGTTGTATATTACATTTTTCTGAGTTTTCACAGAGTATTGCAAATAAGAAACAAAAAGTCCAAATACTCCCATAAGTAATCAAGCTGAACGAACACAACCAAGTATAAATCCTACAACTAAGACAACACAGAGGAAGCCTAGCACCTTACCTGTTTACCTCTGGTAATCTTTTTTCAAAATATGAAGTATACAGTCGCTCTTGAGGATTAGCATACTGTCCATGCAGTAGTGATCTGCAATGAGGGGAGTACAGAACTTGTTTTACATAAAAATGACAAAAACAATCTACAAAGTTGTACAAAATGCTGCCAAATAATCTCACTGAAGAGAATAAAGGAGATACAAAGGCAGTGAAAGGTGAAGATACAATTAACAAATGTGACACAGAAGAGAAATTTTTATTAACTGCTGAATCAATTGGGATTGAGACACTTATATTCTGGGTACCAGTTGAGTTTACTAAACTGACAGTGCATCTCATTGATTTAAAACCTGGGGATCTGGTAAAATGACCATTATGAGTAGTGAATTTAAAGTTAGTAAAAATGTTGTCCACTATTTGTTTGTGGCATAGTGGCTAAGATGTGCAGTATAGTGTCCTTGAATTGGTGTCATGTTCAATGGATGTTAAGAGTCCCCCACAGGAGTACCAAGGAATGAGACATACAGACACAGTATAGGTCGTAACTAATAAACCAAGTCTGTGAAAAAAGCAGAAGAGAATAAAATAGAGCTCTTCAAAAATACTATTTTTAATTTTTGCACCAAACCTAACCAAATCTTGCTCAAATTAACAAAATACAGTCAAGCACTGTTAATTCAAAATATCATAATTCAAATACCTGGAAAGTTTACTTTGACTATATCACAAAAAAGAAACTTATTTGTGTTTATGTACTCAAAAAAAAAACAAAAAAACTGAAATACCAGAAACCAATACCAGAGCTATGGATGATAATGAAGCTTCAAGGCATCCCACCCTTAAAGCTTCCAGTTGCTGTCCCATATGGTACCTTCCACCAAGCTGTGTAATTATGTACAGCAATATTTTTAGTTATAAGCCCTGTGCATGTGCTAGCGCATGGGAAAGCACAATTATTCTACGAAACAGAGTGAATGGATGATGGGCTGTCTGACAAACATGTATTAATACCTGTCTACTTGCTGTTTATATGTTTTCATTTTGCATTATGCATGCGTTTGTGAAACATCTTCACTGCAATACATTGTGTACAAGTTGTCCTCATGTTGGTGTCTTAGAATACATAATAATGCAGCACACCTTTTTGAGAGTGCGTGAGGCTATTTATGAGTGAAGGCATACGAAAGAAATGTTTTTCTACAGTTACCCCCTAGTAATACTATACAACCTCTCCTCACTTAACGACGGAGTTTTGTTCCTAAAACCATTTCCGTAAATGAATGTGTCGCTAAGTGAGGAGCATACTATAATGGTAGTGGGTTTATATCATCCATCTTTTATATTGTTTAAATGTGACCTTTGCACCATTTAACATTTCTGGTATATTTTTAAATGTTTATACAGTAGTGTACTGTACAGTGGACCCCCGCATAGCGAACTTAATCCGTGCAAGAGGGCTGGCCGTTATGCGAAATGTTCGCTATGCGAATTAATTTTCCCCATAAGAAATAATGGAAATAAAATTAATCCGTGCAAGACACCCAAAAGTATGAAAAAAAAATTTTTTTACCACAAAAAAATGTTAATTTTAGTACACACAAACTGAAAAAGGCATGCACAATTACATGACACTTACTTTTATTGAAGATCTGGTGATGATTGATGGGATGGGAGGAGGGGAGAGAGAGTGTTAGTGTTTAGAAGGGGAATCCCCTTCCATTAGGACTTGAGGTAGCAAGTCCTTTTCTGGGGTTACTTCCCTTCTTCTTTTAATGCCACTAGGACCATGCTTCAGAGTCACTGGACTTCTTTCGCACAACATATCTGTCCATAGTGGCCTGTACCTCTCGTTCCTTTATGATTTGTCTAAAGTGGTTCACAACAGTGTCATTGTAACAGTCACCAGCACGGCTTGCAATAGCTGTGTGAGGGTGATTTTCATCAAAAAAGGTTTGCACTTCAAGCCATTTTGCACACATTTCCTTAATCTTTGAAGTAGGCAATTCCTTCAATTTCTCTCTCCCCTCCTTTGAACCAGTTTCCCCAGGTCTGGCCTCTTGCTCTTGAAGTTGATCTATCAGCTCATCAGTGGTTAGTTCTTCATTGTCCTCCTCCACCAACTCTTCCACATCCTCCCCACTAACCTCCAACCCCAAGGACTTCCCCAATTCCACAATTAATTCCTCAACTGGTATACTACTCCTCTCAGGGTTAGCCTCAAACCCTTCAAAATCCCTTTTGTCTACACATTCTGGCCACAGTTTCTTCCAAGCAGAGTTCAAGGTTCTCTTAGTCACTCCCTCCCAAGCCTTACCTATAAGGTTTACACAATTGAGGATATTAAAGTGATCCTTCCAAAACTCTTTTAGAGTCAAATCGAGTGTCTGTGGTCACTTCAAAGCACTTTTGAAACAGAGCTTTTGTGTACAGTTTCTTGAAGTTGGAAATGACCTGCTGGTCCATGGGCTGCAGGAGAGGAGTGGTATTAGGAGGCAAAAACTTCACCTTAATGAAGCTCATGTCCCCATAAAGTCGCTCTGCCACGTCTGTAGGATGACCAGGGGCATTGTCTAACACCAGGAGGCACTTAAGGTCTAATTTCTTTTCAGTTAGGTAATCTTTCACATTGGGGCAATGCATGGTGTAACCAGTTATAGAAAAATTCCCTAGTGACCCATGCCTTACTGTTTGCCCTCCACAGCACACACAAATTATCCTTGAGGACATTCTTTTGCCTGAACGCTCTGGGAGTTTCAGAGTGATACACTAATAAAGGCTTAACTTTGCAATCACCACTACCATTGGCACACATCAACAAAGTAAGCCTGTCTTTCATAGGCTTATGTCCTGGGAGTGCTTTTCCTCCTGAGTAATGTAGGTCCTGCTTGGCATTTTCTTCCAGAACAGGCCTGTTTCATCACAATTAAACACTTGTTCAGGTTCCAGTCCTTCAGTTTCTATGTACTCCTTGAATTCATGCACATATTTTTCAGCCGCTTTGTGGTCCGAACTGGCAGCCTCACCATGCCGTATCACACTATGGATGCCACTACGCTTCTTAAATCTCTCAAACCAACCTTTGCTGGCCTTAAATTCACTCACATCATCACTAGTTGCAGGCATTTTTTTAATTAAATCGTCATGCAACTTCCTAGCCTTTTTCACATATGATCGCTTGAGAGACGCTATCTCCTGCTAGCTGTTTTTCATTTATCCACACCAATAACAGTCTCTCAACATCTTCCATCACTTGCGATCTTTGTTTCGAAAACACAGTTAAACCTTTGGCAACAACAGCTTCCTTGATTGCCGTTTTCTTGCCCACAATAGAAGAGATGGTTGATTTTGGTTTCTTGTACAACCTGACCAGGTCGGTGATACGTACTCCACTTTCATACTTATCAATGATCTCTTTCTTCATTTCAATGGGTATTCTTACCCTTTGAGGTGTAGGGTTGGCACTAGAAGCTTTCTTGGGGCCCATGGTCACTTATTTTCCAGAAACAGCACCGAAAACACTGTAATAATACGAAATATTCCGAGTGTATGCTTGAATGTTACCGCGGAGGCTGGCTGGTAAACAATGGCACGGGCGGCACATGTGAGGCTGGCTGAGGGCGCACATTGGACGCGTCTCGGACGAAGGCCGCTGAGCGGGTTTTTGTCCACTATGCGGGGCAAAATTTTAGCGAACAAAGCGTCCGCTATGCGGATTGTTCGCTATGCAAGGCGTTCGCTATGCGGGGGTCCACTGTATACTGTATTAAACAGAATAGAGGAACTCAGCTCTAATATACATTCTTTAGGTATGGAAACTGGTCAGAGAGCCCGTTGTGAGTCTGAGTCGTCGGCAAATGAGTACATCGCAAAGTGAGGAGAGGCTGTACACAGTTTCTCTGGTGGTGTTGTAACAGAACGTTTGATAGTAATTATTGTCGTACACTCCATTATGCCCGCTTGCTACCACACCTTACAATTATGTTAATTTGTTTTACTATGATTGTATATACAGCCTCTCCACACTTAATGCCGTACTTGCTTACCGACGCCTCAGACTTACGACGAGCTCTCTGAACAGTATACATACCTAAATAATGTACACCTACCATCCGACTTACGACCTGCTCGACTTACGACCACTCGACTTACGACCGTGTTTTTTATGCCAAATTTCTGGGAAATAAACAACTATTTGTGTTGTACAAAGTGTTTATACTAAACCTTACAGTATTATTAAAATACAGTACTAACAACACAAAAAGTAAAGTAAAACATGAAATACCAAAATAAAATAATAAAATAAAGTCATTACAAAAATGTTTTGTTGATATTCAGTAGTAAAGTTCGACTTACGACCATTTCGACTTACGACCGATTTCTCAGAACCGAACTCGGTCGTAAGTCGGATGGTAGGTGTATATTAGAGCTGATTTCCTCTATTCTGTTTATTACACTATACAGCATACTACTGTATAAACATTTAAAAATATACCAGAAATGTAATAAATAGTGCAAAGGCAACATTAAAACAATATCAAACATGGTTGACACAAACCCACAACCACTATAGTATGCTCCTCACTTAGCAACGAATTCGTTTACTGGTGTGGTCTTGGGAACAGAACTCCATTGCTAAGCAAGGAGAGGCTGTATTTTGTTTATATGATATGTAGCGCATTTCTTATATAATTTTCAAAACATGTCAGATAGATTAATGAAAATGTCTATAATAATGTAATATATGACATATAAAGCACTCCACAGCAATTATTATTATTATTACAGTGGACCCCCGGTATTTGATGGCATCGGTATTCGATAAATCCGGTATTCGATAAATCCGGTATTCGATGCATTTTATCGCAAAAATTTTGCCTCGGTATCCAATCGAAAACCCGGTATTCGATGCAATTCGTACGAGACGTGTCCACGTGTGGCCTGAACTGCCCTGTGTGTGCCAGTGTTTACAAGCCAGCCAGTGTGCGCGCATCTAAGGATACATTCGGTACATTCCACATTATCGCTGTTTTTGGTGCTTGTTTCTGCAAAATAAGTCACCATGGGCCCCAAGAAAGCTTCTAGTGCCAACCC